GGGGTAGGGTGAGGATGGGGGGAAGGGATAGCCAGAACTGCTAGCCACCTGTGTGCTTTTGCTGGCTTTTGTGGGCTGGGCTCTCAGGAGACCTGTGGCATCTACACACTGCAGTTTAGAAGTTAGTAGGCCCAGACTGAATGGGAAAATCAGTGGGGTGCCAGGCACTTCTATAGTTCTTTGAGGCAGAGCCACTCAGAAGGGATAGAGGACACAGTTGTCTTCTATCTCCATTTCCTGGACTCTCATTCCCAAATTCAGCCCAGGCCCTCCTCCATGCCTGTTGGAGGAAGGTTGCAAAGCCCAAGGGACTAACTATAGGACCCCACTGGCAAGATGTCTGAATAATTAGTGGTTGGGCTTTATGTCAATTTTAGCAGAAGTTGAAGAGAAGCAGGGGTTGGTGAGGAGAGAGGAAAGGGAGCAGCATGGAGTCCCTGCAGATCAAGGTGGAGCAGACCTTGAGGTTCAAGTCACTAAGAGGATGTTTATGTCATGAGCCCTTGAAAATCCAGAGGAAATGTGACTTGATTTTGGAAAGACAGGAACTACCTGTCACACCTCAGCATTACAGAGTAATAAACCAAGGCCAAGTCAGTGATGAACTGCCTCCCTTCCTCTCCCTTACCTTCGTCCCCTCCTTTTTTCTCCCTTCTCTTCCTCTCCCTTCCACTCTTCCTTCCCCATCCTTCCCTTCCTCCACCATGACTCCCCTCTTCATATGTCTCAGCTAGCTACAGGCAGAATCAAGCGCTCACTCCAGACCGGTTTGAATGCAAATGCCCTAGAGTAGCTGGGACCCACCCAGGTTATTTCTGTTGCTCCAGGACAGGCCACTAGGTGTGGTTCCAGGCTCTTGTCTTCGAGAGAGACAGACCTCCATCTTCCCACTGTAGTTGTGCTTAAGAAAGTACCTGATGTCACAACAGCAGCCCACCGCCACTGCCACTAGTGTGGACCATAGCAACCTCACCATTGGTTGGGAACTGGGAGAGTCCATACCCTGGTGATACCGGGCTGTCCTATCATTCCTTTCCCTTCATGTTCCAGGGATTTATTAAGCAGCCACAGCAAAAATTAATCCTGTGGATGTTCCTTGCCAACTCTATTTTTAAACAAAATCAATTAAGTAATCATCTGAGTCCAACCCAGTGTGTTAAATAAAACCTGCCACCATTGAGTGTCATCAGTCTGGGGATCCAGGGCCTCTGGGCTTGGCAGGAGCAAGGTATCTCAAGATCAGGGAGAGAACCAGGGAGTCACACTTTTCCAGCTCTATAACCCATCACTTTCCACCATGGCTTGACTCCTGGCTCCCCACCACTGACAACTACACCTTGTCCCAGGAGGACTTATTGTTCACGTTTTCATACTTTGTCTGTGACAGTCCCAAGATCTGGACTGTTCTCTTATGGCCTCTCCAATTGCCCATACCCACCATCTCCTTTAAAATAAAAATCTAATTCACTTCATTTTGGAAAACTTAACACCCGTTGGTTTGTTTTGGTTTTATAATTGTTCTCTAATGGATTTTTGCATACACCAAGTCACTATAACAAGAGTGTAAGACTAAACCCAGGTCTTCTGTTTTTGCCATAGCCCTCATGGGGCTTAGCACAGTGCAGGGCATATAGTACAAGCCCATTGAATACCCACTGAATTAATGACTCTGGCCATCTTAAGCAGTTTTTCAGTTTCTAGAAAACTGATGATGTTGGCCTTGGGAAATGATTGGATTCTCCTGATAAATCATTCAAGTAAGCACATATCAAGCACCTACTGCTCTATATTTGGTAGCAATTTATTGAGCACTAACTGTGTGGCATAGATTCTGCTCAATATTGTGACTACAAAGATTGAATAGGGCATGATTATTGTGCTCTGAGCTCACTGTTTGATTATGAAAGACACACTGTTTTTTTAATATGAGAGGAGCACTGAGAGAGATGTGTATACATTGCTATTGGAATACATGGGAACACCAGGTTCGAGGTACTGACAATACTGGACAAGGCTTTCCAGAATTCATCTTTAAGTTTAATTTTAAAGAATAAGTAGAGCCATGGCAGGTTTGGCTCAGTTGGTTGAGCATCATCCCAAACACCAAAAGGTCAACAGTTCTATTCCCAGCCTGGGTGGCAACCAATCAATATTTCTCTCTCTCTCCCTCTCCTTTCCTCTCTCTTTAAAATCAATAAAAATATATTTTTAAAAATAAATTTTTAAAAAAAGTATGAGTGACAGTTTGCCAAGGAAGGTAGAGGAGAGGGAACAGTCTTTATTTTAGAAATATTTATTGAGAGTTTAACATGCACCACTCTATAAGGAAAACTTTTGCTGAATAATTAGGTGTTCAAAAATGGGCTTTGTCAGTGGTTCTCAATCAAGATCAGTAGTGTCCACTTTCAGATAAATTTTGGAAATGTCTGAGGGTGTGGGGGGTCATCCCCATGGTTTGGCATGCTGTTGGCATTTAACTATGTATCCTACAGGGAGTGAGACAGTCCCTGAATGATGACTTGTTAGAGGTATGAAAACATGAAAGAGCAGTGTGGGTAACTGGAATGGCGAGACATGACTCTGGGGAAGTAGTCAGGTGCCAGTTCAGGAAGGACCTAGGATGCCACAAGAGAAGGGTAATGGTAGAACAAGTGCATGGATGTGAAAATGAACTCAATATTTGAAGGACCTGGTGGGAAAGGAGGTGTCAGGAGATAGGAGCAGATGAGAGAGATGGGCTCCTAAAGAGACCTTCCATCAGCCCTTCAGTGTGTGGTGGTCTCTGAAGCTGTGGAGCTCTGAGCCACAGTAGAATGTGGGTGTGTTGTGACATCAAATGGTGAACTTTTGATATGGCCCAATGTCTTGGAGAATTTGGTTTTGTGTCCAGGTAACATTATTATTGATCTACTCTTATCTGTTTCTCTTTGTCCTTTCATACCTTTGGCTTCTTGTCTCCTTCACTCACTCCTTTTTCCTCCTCTGGCTTCTTTCCTTCTTCTAAATGAGACCCTCTCTTTGTCCTTTCCCTGTCTATTCACAGAAAATGATGAAGAAAGAAGCTCTTCTCCTCATCCCCAATGTCCTGAAGGTCTTCTTAGAAAATGGACAGATCAAGTCGTTCACATTTGATGGCCGGACCACTGTTAAGGTACATATAGAATCTCCTTTCTCAGGTCACCATTGCCCTCTCTGGAGCACACACAACTGCTGGTCCCTGGGTTCCTCTGAGTCTGTACAGAGCTACTCGCTGCCAAAGCAAGGTGGCCATTGAACTCTTGCTGCTGTGAGCACCAGGCTCCAAAAGAACACAGTCCTCAGATGCCGGTGAGGTGGGATTTGCATGACCAACTCTGTGCTAGTGATTGTAAATGTGTGTGTGTATGCCACACATATGTATGTGCTTGCATATGTGCATGTGTGTGTTCACACACATGTCCGCACACATCTACTGGTGAACTGATTTATGTCCGTGTTATACTGGGCCTTCCAAGACTCTTAGGAGTTAAGGAGTGTGAAGATCATTAAACTACTTATAAAGCAAAAAAGTGATTTATATTGATACAATAACACCTACGCAAGTTTATATGCAGAAATCAACAAACACAATCTCTCAAGAGATTAGCTTAGCCATGCCTTGCTTTTTAAATAGAAAGCAGATCTTAAGCACTGAACCAAGATTTTAAAAGTCCAGCAACAGTCCCTTTGGCTATTCTTTTCACAGGAAGAGCAACTACTGAGCTGTGATTCTTAACGGCTCAGCCAGGTATCTAAAAGTTGTAGCAATTCCCTTATTCCTGAAGAAGAGAGGTGATGATACAATTAACTCCCAGGTTCAACTCTGCTCTAGAACAGATATGTTCCTGCTTCTTCTGGACTCTCCTAAAAGAAAATGCCATTTCCAAAATGAATATTTCCATGTAAACAATACTGCCTAGACTGACAGGTGTCTACAGTGCTTGCCCAGGAAACCCACCTTGGCTCAAAGGTGTTCTGAGGTATCCATGCAGAGGCCCAGACAAACCTATAAATCAAGAAAGCCCTGGCCAGGAAACTTTCCCTAAAAGGAGTCATCAGGTGTTCAGAACTAGCCTTGCCAGTGGTTCTCAGCCAGGGTTGGCACTGCCCCCTCCCAGACAGCTTTTGGGAATGTATGAAGCAGTTGGGGGCGAGAGATGCTAAGTGTCCTGTAGGGAGTGGGACAGTCCCCGAATTATGAAGAATTGTCCTTCTCAAAGTGCCAGTAGCACCCGAGTTGCAAAACACTGAGCCTACTCCATGTTGATTGAACCAAGAGTTTCTTCAGAAGATCCAGGCCTGGGTGGATCCCCCATGGGACTTAGGATCAAAACATACTCTTTAGGGTACCCTGGGATGGTCTCTTGGCTATTGAATATCTCAGTTTATGGGAGGGGCATTGAACCAGAACTAGGTAACTGGGAATATCTAAATGCCCCTCCTCCAGATGTGAATATCTCTTTGTGTCAGAATCCTCTTTGGTGTTGATTCATGGGTTAGTATATCCATTTTAGATCTGTCCCCACACTGGAGCCTTTACTCTTCTCTTTCCCTTTGGCGCCTTCTCCAAGTGTTCTCAACCTTACAACATCACCACCATTGTGGCTTTCAGGTAGCCCCAGCCTTCTAGGAAAAGCGTGCCCCCTGGTTTGTGATCACACCCTGACTTTAGGGAGGGTGCACTGGCTATTCATTGGAACTTGGACAGGCTGCCAAGCCACTTGTCCCAGAGAGGTACCTGAGCAAATTGACAGCCTGGTATGGGGGCTGTTACACTTGTTACTGGTGTTACACCAGTTGGTAATCACTGGGGCTTGGCCGTCCACAACCCCAATGCAGCCGAACTGCGAAGAAAACCTCATTTGTTCTTGCCAGAGCTCCAGAAACACTGGCACATCTGTAACTACTTGGGTAATACAAAGAGATACTCTCAAGTACACACCAGTTTCCAGCTGAACATTTGAATGGATCAGTGTCTTTTTCATGTTCACTGAAGGGATTTTAGGAAGCCCTGGCTGTAAGGGTGCTTTGCATTCCCAAGCCTTCTTCTTTCTGGCCTTTGGGAACATAGTGATGACGGCTCTACAAACACACACATTAGAACCCAGTGTAGGCAAATAGATGGCAGAAGTCTCAAAGTGACATCTGGCCAGCCCCCACAGATATTTTCCAGACACCCTAATATTAAAAGTAGGGCAGCAGAGCAGACGGAGCCAGAAGTAGTCAGATTTATGACTATACACAAGACACGTGACATAGCTCCTCTGTGTGAATGCGTTTTTCAAGTTGCTAAATTGCTTGTCTTTAAAAATCAGCTACGATAAAAAATGAATATTTTTCCAGTAACTCAATTCATTCAATTTAGATTTTAAATCCAGAAAGTCGACTTTTTAATCATAAAATCATCACTTTTGCTTTTTTAAATTCCTAAAGAGTCGAGGGACAAACCAGAGTGAACATTTTTACATGATAAGGTGAGGGAAGCCCTGGCTGGTGTTGCTCAGTGGTTAGAGCTTGGGCCTTGCATGGAAGGGTCATGGGTTTGATTACCAGTCAAAGGCATGTACCTGCATTGCAGGTTCGATCCCTAGCCCTGGTTGAGGCACATGCAGGAGGCAACAAATGTGTCTCTCTCATATCAATGTTTCTCTCTCTCTCTTTCCCTCCCACTCTCTCTAAAAATCAATGGAAAAAATAAATATCTTCGGGTGAGGATTAACAAAACAAAAAAAGAAGAAGAAGAAGGTGAAGAAAGAACTAGCAGAGTGCTTGAAACTTAGTAAACACTCCGGAAATAATTTGTTGAAAGGAAGAAGAGAAGGAGGAAAGTAGGGCCAGCTATGACCTTCTTTTGCTATATGCCTGGCCAGGTCAAATTCAGAAACAGTTCTCTCCAAATTCAGAAACACTTCTCTATCCCCTGCACCATTGGTGTTTCCCAGGGCCCAGGCCTCTAAATAACACTCATGGGTCACTCTCCTCATCTGAAGCACATTGCCTAGACCACTATAAAGGCTGATGTTTCTGTCTGGCCCACTTTCCCAGCCTCAGCCTTTTCCCCAGGACTTTCTTTCTTGGAATTTAGTCCCCCCCCCCCC